CGCCCCGACTGTAGGTCGGGCCTGTCCCTCCACAGGGGGGATGTTCAGAAACAGTACAAACAACATAGTCTGGGGACGATGTTGTTGGCTGTTTTTGCCCATTCAGAGGGGGGGGGCATGTTTCGAGTATGGCTTATCTTTCGGCCAAGATCCCCCCCTGTAGGGGGACAGGCCCGACCTAAGCCTACAGTCAACCCGCATGGTACGGATGGGCAACTTTCCCAAGGGTGCCTTTGCATTCCTGCCTTTCTCGGTTTATCCTTGGCCGTTTTCGTTGGCCGCGCCCCGCTCGCAGAGCTTCGAGATGGGCGTCCAAGGCCTCTGAATCCTGACCGCGCATCCTTATGAGACGGGTTGACTGTAGCAGGGACGCGCGCCTTCATCTAGGGTGCACTTGTGTCCTTGCCTCTGCGGCCCGTCCTTTGCCGTTTTCACTAGTCGGCCGCGGCCAAAAAAAATCCAACTTCGGCCTTCAAGGGTCTTGCGTCCGTACCACCCGTCATTATGAAACGTTTTCATTACACGACGGAGGAGGTACGAAGACCGACCGACTTGCCTGCACATTTTGAACAGGACTCGCTGTTGGTGTCGCCACGGCCGTTGTCCTTCTGAAACAGAAGGCCGCCTGCCCAACAGCGGCCGCTGTCGGTTTGGGACAACATTTGTTGTTGGGCATCGTGCCCATTTGTTTTCCTACCTACGTCGGGCGTCTAAAGCCTAGGCGGGGTCGGAGTAGAGGGGGTCGGAGGATCGAGCCGCATCGCCAATGCATCCCCGATGCGGCTCGATGTGGAGCCCGATTTTTCGCGCCGACGGCGCCGATGCATTGGCGATGCGGGGCGATCCTCCGACCCCATCTACTCGGACCCCATCTAGGAGGCGTCTGCCGAGGGCACGGGCGCTCGCGGCCATCGGCCGTCGCCGGTCGGGCCGCGCAGTGGAGGCTGGATCGTGAGTGCCCGTCGGGGCGTGCGCCAGGGCTCTGTGCTCGGGCACACAAGCGCAAGAAGTTCATGCTCTGAGCGCTGCCAGCGACGCGTCCACGCGTGCCTGCACGCGTGCAGGCACGCGTGGAAGCGTCGCTGGCAGCGCTTCAGAAGCGCTTCAGGAGAGCCCCCCAGAGCTTTTCAGGGAAGCTTTCCAGAGTATGCCTCTCTGCTATCCCAGTTTGGGACGCTACCAAGTTCATGCTCTGAGCGTGCCCGCTCCCTGCTGTGCCCAGTTGGGCCCTGCAGTGCCCCTCGGCCGCCTCCGACCGCGGCGCGGTCCCACACCGCTGCGGCCAGAGAGGTGTCTTGGCACCGCTCGGACGTGTGCACTCTTCCTTCGGCGCGGACCATCGAGGAGCATCCTTGATCATTTCGCGAAAAAACCACGCACGAAACCGACAAAAAACACAGGAAATGGACGTCCGAGCGGTGTGCGCCGGAGCTCCCCGACCAACCTCTCTCCCGACTTCCGCGCCGTGGGCCCCTCTCGTGGCACACACGGCGCGGGGGAACCCGTGCGAGGGGCGGGGCCGGCAGGTGCTCGGCGGCAGCGGGAGGAGGAGGAGGAGGAGGAGGAGGAGGAGGAGGAGGAGGAAGATGAGAGGAGGAGGAGGAGGAGGGGGAGGAGGAGGAGGAGGAGGAGGAGGAGGAGGAGGGGGAGGGGCGCGGGGGAGGAGGAGGGGGAGGGAGGGAGGAGCTCACTAGCCGCCTCTGCGGGAGGAGAGGTGGGAGGAAAGGGATTCGGCGGACAGGGGGACACACAAAAAGCGTGGGGGGTGCTCGGGCCAGCACGGAGCAAGGGGGGAGGGGAGCAGGGGCAGGTAGGGTGGGAGGGGGGGGGGGGGGGGATGGCAGGGAGGAGGGAGGAGGAAAGGGAGGTCTAGCGAGGGGACCTGAAGAGAGTGAGAGAGCGCCAAGAGGCGAGGAGGGAGGAGGAGGAGGTGAAGGAGTGTGAGGGGAGGAGGGGGGGCAAGGAGGAAGGGAGGAAAAAAAAAAAATGCAAAAAAAAAAAAAGAGGAAAAGGAGGAGGAGGAATAGGAGGAGGAGGAGAGAGGGAGGAGTGAGGGCGAGGAGGAGGAGGTAGGGGTAGGAGGAGGAAGGTAGAAGGATAGGGTAGAGGAAGGAGGCTGAGTCCGAGGAGAGGAGTTTTTCTCGGCCCGTTTGGCCAGCGTGGGCCTGCCCAAGGGTGAAGAGGTTTTGGGGGGCCTCAAATCATGTGGAAAAGCGCAGCCCGCTCCGCCCCGACAGAGACTCGGCACGGATGCTCATGCACGAGGCCCTACCTGACCCCAAGGGGGCGTTTCCATCATCAGCGGCCACCGAGATGCGGCACCGCGATGGGTACTCTCTGACGGGGGCTTTCTTCAGCGAGTGAAGAACGGTATAGAATAATTTGTTTCGCCGTCGGGGGCACCTGCCCCTTGGCGGCTGGAAAGTTTATACCCCTACGGTGCCACCGTAAGGGTATAAACTTTGCAGCCGCCCTGGGGCAGGTGTCCCCGACGGCGAAAAAGTTTATTTTATACCGTTCGTCGCCCGTTAATGTCTGGAACCTAGCCGAAGGTTGCCACTTTTGGTCTCCTCTGCCGGGCACGGCAACACTGCCCGCACCAGGAAGACTTGAGTTCGCAGGGTCGCCAGCAAAAGTACTTGTTAACGGAGTCCCCATTCGGAGGCGACAATGGGCGAATAGCCCAGGGGAGGACATTATACACATTCGCCAGGGAGCCGAATTAGCCGAAGACACGGACCATCGGCGCCCTTGGATACGTGTATTGTCCACCCGAGGGCTACTTGCCCCTATCGCTGCTTCCGTTTAGAGGGGCGCGGGTCCTCCCGCGCCTTCCTCTGCTCAGGGAACGTGCGGATTCACAATCGGGGGCCAATGGCCGATCGATCGGCGAGGGACCGCCCGTTCCACCTCGATGTGCTGCCCCCCCCCCCTCCTGAGCCGGTCCCCCCTTCTCGCTCTCCCCCGGTACTCCAGATTTCGTAATAAAGGGAGGGGGGTCTCATTTCGGGGGGGGTCTCTTCCAGGCTATCTTGGAGGGCCTGGGGGGTCTGGGGACGATGTTTTGGAGGGTTCTCCCACGGGGGAGGTCTGAAATGGCTTGTCTTGGAGGGTCCAGACCCCCTCTCTTTTATTACGAAATCTGGAGTGCCCGTTGTGGCTCGGCCCAGAGGGGCCTCTGGTGCGCGGCCTGCCAGGGAGGCGCGGTGCGGCGCGGCCGGACCCCAGCACGAAGGGCCGTTCGGGTCGCAGCGCGCGCAGGGAGAGAGCGGCAGGCCGCGCAGCAAGGGCCACTCGTTCCAGCAGTGGCGAGGCGTCCTTCAGGAGGGGGAAAAACGCACAGACGCAATGAATCGTCGATTCCCCAGAAAATATGGGGAAATTTGGGAAGTGGGGGGGGGAAGACAAAAACCCAGGAGATATGGGAAAATATGGGGGATATGTTTTTATGTGTGTATTTGTTTGTGTGTCCCAGGGCCCCTTCAGTCCTGGCTCCCCTGCAGGCCCACCATAGGACATTCTTAAGAACCTTTTGTGGTCTGCGCGAAATGTTGTTACAACATGTCTGCCTCAGACTGTCCTGTTTTAAGACATCGGGCTTGTGTTCTGAAGAGCATTGCTTCTGTTACTGGAACATCTCGGGGTTCTAAGAACATGGTGTGGTAGGCCTATAGAAATGCCGGGACGGTCGGTCCCTGCTCAACTCTTGCCCAATTCTTTGTCCAGGATCATTCTTGCGTGCACAGTCGGACCGAGGTATAAGTCGAAGAAGAAAAAACGGCATCAAGATAAATGTGTGGCGCTCCGCGCGGATTTCTTGGATCCGCGCCAGGGGCCCCTCCGATGCCTCCGGCGCCGCCCCTGGCGCGCTCCGCGCGCCAGGGAGGGGGGTCCAGCGCAGGTCCAGGAAATCTGCGCGGAGCGCCGAAAGTTTCTGTTGATGGCGCTGTTTCTTTTTCTACAGTCGGACCGAGGTATAAGATCGAGGTCGGTTCGGGGAGGATACCCTAGTGTTCTTCGTGTGTGTGTGTGTTGGATGTGCTGGTGGTGCGCCCCGGGGAGGGTACCCTTAGATGTACTGTGTGCTTTGGCCGACGGAGGGCGTCGTGTGCTTGAAGGATGTTCTTCTGGCCTAGGTCCGACTGTAGCCGATGAGTGGAGTCCCCGCTCGAGGGGCTCTGATCCTCCCGCGCCTTCCTCTCGCCACGGCCCCTGCCCGACAGGAGTGACACTGCCCCCGATCGTTACTTCGGTAGCAAATCATGGGAGCCTGGTACACCCTCTGAATCCCCTCTTTGGCGTCGATGAGCGTCTGGGAGTCGATGAGATAGCGCCGATTTACTGTCGGCTAGCGTCGATGTAGCGTCGATTAGCGTCGATCTAGCGTCGATTAGCGTCGATTCGCACGAGCCGGCAAGATGGTATGGGAGGCTCTCACGAGTTGCCACCGAACATTACCCTTCCACCTTTAGTGGAGTCCCCGCTCGAGGGGCGCTGGTCCTCCCGCGCCCTCCCCTCGCTGCGGCCCCTGCCCAGCAGGAGTGACGCCGCCCCCCTATCGCTGCACCCCAACCGTTCGCGGGGCCCATCTCGATCCGATTCGATGTCGGTTTTGGCCGGCCCGATCCGATTCAGTTCCGATGTTCCGACGATCCGATGTGGCCGATGCTCGCATGGCGTTGTTGCGCGTCCTGGCGCAGCCGATCCGATTCGACTCTGACTCCATGCCGATGCAGCCCGATCCGATGTAGATCTCGATCCGATGCGATTGCCCGATTCGATGCTGACTGATCCTGCAACCGTTCGTGGGGTCCTCGCAGGGCGGGCCGGCCTTTCCCTCCCCGTCCTGGTCCCGTCGTCCTCGTCCTCGTGCCCGTCCTCGTCCCTGTCCTCGTCCTCGTCCTCGTCGTCGTCGCCGTCGTCGTCCTCGTCGTCGTCGTCGCTCGAGGGGCGCTGGTCCTCCGCGCGCCCTCCTCTCGCCGCGGGCCTGGCCCGCTCAGGAGGCGCTGCCCGAGTACTTGGCGGCGCAGCGGGCCCCCGCCAAGGAGTGCCCCGCCAACGGCGAGCTGGCAGGCACGCCTCCCTTCCTGTCGTCGTCCTCCTCCTCCTCCTCCTCCTCCTCCTCGCTCGCTCGCTCCTTGGGGCTTAAAAGTTTGAGCCCGTACCAGAAGATGAAAAGGTGAAGGTCACGCAAAGAATTCCGAATTCATGCACGAGGAGGGGGGTCAGGGCGACCCCAACATAGGGGCAGCCAGCGAGTCCCCTTCAGAGTGCCCGACTGCCACTCCAGGAAAAGGCGGTCCTGTCGGCGAGGGGGTCGGGCCAGGGGTAATACCCGACACCATACCCCAGGCGGCCTCCCCTCCCCAGCACGCGTCCAGATGCGTCTTCTGGACTTTAGGGTCGTGGGTGAACACTATACCGTCCCCCCATTGGACTCCTCCTGTCGCCAGACATGGGACCTCATGCAGTGGCTGTGCACCTGAGGGGCATGCGCTCTGCTGAAAATCGGGGGCACTTTCAACCCGTATCGTGCAAGCTCCCGCCGCATTGCGGTCGGAAACCCAGTCAAGGGCGGCCCCCTCCCCTTCATCATTGCGCGCTGCCCCTACCTCGCACCCCCGCATGTTAGGTATGATATCGGCGTTGCGCAGTCGCATGCTTGCCGCACTGCATAAACTCGTAACAATTCCCACAGTATCCCCGAGCGGCCTTGAGGTCGCCGATGGCGCCGTATCCCCCCCCGCTCTTTCACGAAAGCACGAGAGGCGCAAGCGGTGATTGAGACAACGCATCGGATCAGCATGTGAGAAGTGCCCATGTCCCGCGGGGGGGGGGAGAGGGCACGCCAGACGGCCAGGCCCCCCAGAGGGCCACAGAGGGGGCCACGCCCGGGTCCACGGGCGGGCACGTGTCCAGCAGGGTCCCCCTACATCCAGGAAGCCTCGGGAGGGCAGCAAAACTTCTGGGGGCAAACCAGCGACAGGGGCCGCAGGGTTGACGGCAGGAGACACGGGGAGGATCCAACAGGCAGGGACGTCCTGGGCCACGCATCGCACCCACAACTCGGTGCACGAACGTAACCAAATACTCTCTCTCTCCATCCAACTCCTCACACAATCACTGGTCTGAACGCACCCCCAAGGGGACACGGCGGTTCTAACGGGAGTGAGGCCCTCGGGGAGCGCATCCAGGGGTGCGAGGTTTGCACAAAGCTCGTTAAAGTGTACTCAATATACAGGCACGCCACCTTCCCTTCCTCAATAAGCTTGCCTACCGTATCAATCGTGTAAGGGGAGAGCAGGCCCGTGGAGTCGGTAGTCGCGCACTCAAGCACGATGGGCCACACACGATCTCTTCGCCATAATGGCTGTTCCGCAAACACTCGCATGGCGTTCTTGCTGTGATTCTCTCTGTAAACAACAAAAACAGCGTACGAGCATGGGAGAGGGGGGGCGGGGGCCATGGATGGCCCAGTCTGCACGGGAGTGTCCCTAGGCACAACAACAGCGACAGGCAGCGCTATCTTTGGCTGCTTAGGGATACGGACCAGGGGGCGGAAAGCGGGCCCCGCAATCTTCACCGCGGGAACATGGGCGAAGCATTCCGACAGGCCCTTGGATCGGTTCACCCGTTTTACTTCCCGCCTTTCCGCCAGGCATTCCGCCAGCTCCTCCTCGGAAGGGCGCAGCGGGGAATTAAGCCAACACGTGCGGCAGCTGGCCGCACTCTGAATGTGCTTCAACAATCTCGCAGTGTCCCAGAACTGGGTGACACAGAACGGACACACCGTCCCCGTGACAAAAGCCGTTGGGCTGGCTTCAGTCTTATGTGTTTTCCCGATGTGGATTCTCACAACTTGCTCCTGCTCAGACGTGAACCCACACAAACTACAGACGTATTGAGAGTCCGCTACTTGAGTCTGGGTTTCCGTGGCCTCCTCGGTCTTGGGAGCAACAGGGGAAGAGGGGGCAAGTGGGGTTCCCTTCACCCTTTCCATTGGCAGCGGCGTAGCGATGGCGTTGGTCAGACTTGAACCGTTGGCCATACCCTTGCTGGCCTCGGTGAGTCTACTCCTCCACATTTCACATCCAAGTTCTTCCTGCCACTGATACCTAACTCTCGCACCTGCAATCCCCACAAGCCTCACAAATCGTCGGGGGTCGTTCCTGACCATATTCAACCAAAAAGGCATCCATTCGCCATGGGGCGGGTCCGACGGGGGGGCGATTTTGCGGAGCCGCGCAAGGTCCTGGCAAATAAGTTGGGGCCACAGGCCAGGGACACCCCAAACGGAATCGAGTACCACTCGTACCATCGGGGGGGGGCGCACTAAGAAACGAGCCAGGAAACGAAGACGCATGATCGAGAGTACGACTTGGACAGGCAGACGACTGACGGCTGCCAAAATCTTGCGAGAGGCAACGTGCTCATCCTTGTTGTTGCGCTTCCCTAGATTCATGGTTGTTCTGTATATAGCTGTATGGTGCTGCACAATCAATCTGTCAATGTACACGGGCACATCATCCCAAGCCGAGCTGCAATAGAACATCCGCGAAGCAGCCAAGGACACACAATACACGACCTTCTTGGCCAGGGGTATGAGGGGGGAGGGGGCGATCAGTTTCTTGATGGGCTCGAGGGCCCCCGCCATCCCCGCGGCACGGTGCGCCACCTAAGCCCCGAGTCCCCCCGTAGCCATGCACATGGTCACCTAACACCCGATGGCACCGCACAATTTCCAGGTCTTGCCCCCACGCTTCCGAACGGAAGATGGGCCGACTTTGCGTGGCCAGCCTTCTTCTAGCTGCTTGTTGTCCCGCCCCATGAAACGCCAACAATATCTTGGTCTCGGTGGGGTTGACCAACAGACCCCGCCCCTGGACAATCCCACACAGGATGCCATACGCCCGAATGACTTTTCCAGGGAGTTCCTGCGCACTGCCAGCTAGCAACACTGCCAGATCGTCAATAAAGGACACGTCGCTGGTAGGTTTGCCCCAATCTTCAGCTACCGAGAAGCGCATGGTCGGTTTGGTCGGGGTCCAAACTAGGTCTTCTTGCATTAAGGCCGCTTGTAGATCCGTCACTATCCCCGCGAACACCACGTTGAACACGTCTCCCGCGGGAATGGATCCAGGTCTGGACCCTACCGTGGGGGCGATCCAATCGCTGGTGAGATCCAGCTCCCATTGCGATCCTGATTGCGATTCTTGTAGAAGGGCCAGGATGTGAGCAGTCTCCGCAGGCGCCGATAGTAGGGGGGGCTGGTTCAATTGGACCTTGACTCCCTGGATCATGAATGAGGTCATATCCATCGTCTGGAGCGCGTGGTGTAAGGAATCCTCGTCTCGCGGCAGGCGGACGGCCAATTGTTTCACCGCCGAGTAGAAAGCAGCCACCACGTCAATGAAAATTCCCACCGCTGACTTCCTCTGAATCCTTGTGGCATGCCAATGCTGGCGGATATACAATACTGCAAACTCAGTTGAACATCGTGGGCGGCCGCCAATCTGCGTGACACGTAGAACGGCGTATATGAAGTCGGCCGCCTTCTGCCGCACAAATCTATGGTGCATTGTGGCGAGAGCATTACACAGGTGAATGTTCTTCTGTGCCTGAGCTGCCCAAACGTCGCCAGATCCCCTGTGGGAGAAAGTGACTTCTCCCTCCTTGAAAGTGAGGGGTTCTCTCCCATGGGCCTCGATTTTCAACGGAAGAGGGCGAAGGGTACTAGCCACATCAGCGGCCGCCACCTTGAAAAGGCCGTCGGGGAAGAGGTCAGGTCCCGCCCGCTTCCGAGGTTGAGCCTTGGAAAAAAAGAGAGGTGTAATCGTACACGGTGGGCATGCTTGACACAGGAATGTACTGCGATGGTTTGGTCGGTATGTCGCTCGCCCTATTGCGCTGCACACGCTCCTGATCCGATATTGGATATCCCCTCTCTATCTTGGCAAAGTGGTCCTGGGCGATTTCCTGGGCGCGTTCAGGGGTTTCAGCACCCCCCCCCCCCCCCCCTTGGGTGCCCCTCATACAGGGGATCGAGAAGGCGATCTTGGGGGGTCGCCCAGCAAAACTGAGGGTTCGGTGGAGGTGTTCCCACTCCTTAATGGGGTCTATAAATCTATTGAGCTGCGTACTCCCTCCAGTTCCTTCACCAGGAAAACCGCGCGATCTTGCTGCAGCGAGAAAGCTAGTAGTTCCTGGGGGTCCGTTAAGAACTGTTGAAGGGCAATTGCAAAAATGTCAGCCTTCATGTTCCAAGGGTCGTCCTTGTCCCAATATCTTAGTCTCGTGAACACCTGAGACATCAACCTATCAATACTGGGGTGCTCCGAAATTTCCTGCATTCCCATCCCAGCCCACGCTGCCCTGGGGGGGGGCTGCGGAGGCGAAGAGGGGGAAGTGCGAGAGAGCGGAGGCCTTCCAACGGCTTCCTGCATGCATCTGCTCCGCTGCCGTCCCCTGACTGCCCCAAACTGCATCGTGAGATTGGGGTACCTCACACTCTAGGAGATGCACCTGTTCACACCATCTCTGGTGGATATCATGGTCAATTTCTTTCGTGAAAGCGAGGTCCCCCGTCTTCAGCCGACGCGCAAAGCGAAACATGGTGCGCCGTTCAGAAAATACACTGGCCGCCAGGTCCTTCTTTTTCCCCAGGACCCTGGCAATCCCTCGCCTCGTCGCAATCAGTAGGCGGGTTCTGACCGAGACGTATGACGCACGTGGGGTCGTTTTGGGGACGGGGAAAGCTTGTCGAGCCGCCTGCAAAATTTGGGACTGCACAATCGCCAGGTGTTCATTGACGTCCGTTGCCCATGGGATAGCTGGAATCTGGCGGACTTGTTCCTGAAATTGTGAACATGCCCCCGGGTCTTTCATCGCCGTCACGCTTATTCCCTTGGGTCCTGACCGCGGGGGGTGGGCGAGGGTCACCCATTGGAAGCGGATTGACACTGGCTGATGGTCTGGTTGCGCCATGGCGTTGTCAAACTCTGTCCATACCTCAACCTCTTTTACCGTTTGCATTCCTTGCTGGGTGGCCATTACATAGTCAATCCTATGTTTCT